CGAATTAGAAGAGGGGAACTGGTCTTCCTTTTAGTTCGCCAAACTAAACTAGAAAAACAGAAAACTCAAAAGCATGACTAACTTAAAATCGCTCCTGGGAGAGTATTATAAAACGTGCTTTGTTAAAAATGATACACTAATAGAAATAAAAACAAAATTAAAACATCGTAAAAGAAAATTAAAACATCGTTAATAGTGTAATTAATAGCTAGTGGATTAGGCTGCAATCCAATATCACCGTCCCGGATTCGACCACCGCACGCGATATTAAACACTTCCCTTTTTGTGTGAAGGTCACATCTTAATAAAACCAATAGCACTCCCACCAGTTTGATTGTAGACAACTGAATAGAGTCCCGTGTCTAGTAGATATCAATTCTACGATTTATTGTCACGTATTCTTTGCATGATTCTACTCGTATGTGAGAATTCTATTATATAGTAAATTTCTTTCCATAAATTATGCATTATATTGTTCTCGTTTCAATAATAGAAACCTTTAAATCAAAATAATGTTCCGAACTCTCATTGGAAGTAAGCCAGCTTTCATTAGCCATTGAATGTGCAGCACAGCGGTTATAATATGGTTGCAATGATACGGGGCAGAGACCAAAATTCAGATTTAGATGAATTATGCAAATGAAAAGCACTAACATGTATCAATAATAACAGAATCTTAAAACATTCAATGATCCAAGTACAATCTGTTTCGGAGGTGGTCAAATTTTTCAACATCATAGGCATGGGTGGACTAAATCTGTATCAGCTTATGCTCATCACATGACGGTAGATGAGGGTGATTTTTAATCTACAACCCACAGAACAGTTTGATTGCAGAGACCTTTATTCATTACAAAGGTGGTAAGAAAAAATTCAAATTTCAGTTATTATCTTCACGGCCATAATCGTAAACGATCTCAATCTGCATCAAAAACATTATTTCGAGTCAGTCAGAAATAAGCATATTCCAAATCAATAAAATGGAACAACTTTGGGGATCTCATACAAAAGAAATCAATGACGAACATAAAAAAGCAAGCCTAGAAAGGAACCCTCTAACCACACATGGAGAACATCCTCTCCTATCCCTCATCACATTTTAAGCATTTTACCCTATCTCATACGAATTCACCAATATATGAAAGACCTTGATATTCTTGCACAGGGGGAGTGAATATCCAAACAGTAGATTATAGAACGATAGGATGAATGATTTCAAAAGCCTAGAATTCGAACCCGCCGCGTTTTACCGGGGGAAGGATCGAACCATGGGAACGAATCTACGGGGCTATCACCTTCTTTGGCCAGATCTTTCAACCTTTTCACAATTACAGTTCCCTTTCAATGAAAGGGGCTTGCTGGTTTTTCCATCATCCAATCGAATGATTTCAAAAGCCTATCTACGGAAGTTGGCCATGCACAAGAAATGAAATTCGTAGCAGAATGAATTCTTCATCTTCACGATAAGATTATTACGACCACCTCAGATCTCAATTATCCAGTCTTGAACATTCCATTCCATCACTTATTCAAAAGTGAAAATTACCAATCCACCAATGGTAATCATAGCAGAACTATAGGAGGCGGATAAGATGCAGTGTTAACTTCTAAAATTATCATAAACACACATTGAATATATATTGCCGAGATGAGACCCATTCATTCCCAACTACGAGCGCAGACCACATAAATCACCTATGAATCATGAGTTCAGCGCATTTTCCAAACAAAAAGACCAAAAAGTGTATAAAGTGACTAAATACACTCACACACACACAGACATGAAGCATTTCGCGATATCCTCACACAACAGGTAAGATGAGCCAACTGGACCATCTGATGAGTGTTTTGAGAGGTATGGACACAATGTCCCGTGATAAAAGAAAAGTCTGGGGCCTTATGCAGGTATTTTAGGCCTGCTGCACCACACATTGTGTATATCTCTCGTCAAATGAACTTGTCCAGAATTCCACCACACATAATTACATATATACAATTTGTTAAGTATTAACCAATGATCGAAACAGAATTTCAGAGATGTCCATGAAAGTAGCAAGGTAAATAAGTGGGTCCAACAAAATAATGGACAAGATAGACATACGGTATAACCATAACAACTTACCCCTTGAGGTGGAGCTGGGTTGCGAGTAAATTTGGAACCACCAGGCGCCCAAGGAACTATTATACACAGAAAATAAGAGTAAAATGGGTCAATATCTGAGGTGGACATGATAACAAAACAGGAAAGAGAAGGACCAACGAGAGGAGTAACATGTGCAGATAAATCTACTACCCAACGCTAGAAAAACTAAAATATGGGCAATACCTGCCTCTGTGCATATGCTCCAAGGCCTACTGTAGCTTAGGTTATCATTCGAAACAACGCCTTTTTTTCATGGCAAGTTTAACAGTTGGATTGCAGCAAAGATACTTATCACAAAGAAGAATATAGATAATACTCTTATAATGCCAGTCCCCTCTATCTCAACTTCCGTGAGGACTCTTTCAATATGCCCCTCACCAAAAAAAATGGAGATACTTTCAATCGTGAAGTTATGTTTAAAGGAATGGTGTTTAGGATTATTTACAATTATAGATATCAACAAAACATTCTCAACAATATCTCTTTACGCATCATTCGAAACACTACGAAATAGAAAAACATTCACGGTAATAATATTTTACGGTGGATGTAATATAATAGCCTAGGATCAGTGTTGGCAAAGAGATGAAATGAGATGCGTGACATGTTTACCAATGTAAGGATCTGGATGACGCCACTTGTTGTAGGAGGCTTCAGCATCCGCTATGAGCCTATCAATTGTATCAGGATCTTCCTGTGTATGACATCGAATCAACACAGAGCAAGCTCAACAGAATGAGACAATAGACGAGAAATCAAATGCAACGATTAAACCGTTACACAAATCCCTAATCAGAAGATAATAGTCCAAACAGCAAATAGAAAGGAATTATGGTATGTGCGGAATTGAGAGAAGAAGGGGAAAACGAACCACGTGCTTGTTTTCCTCGAACCTGTCGCGGAGGATTTCAGCCTGGAGAAAGGGAAAGAAAATACGAGATTAGAAGTGAAAATGTGAAAAATGGGAAAGGAATGAATGAATAGCTAATATACGTCGTTGTAGAAGAGGTGGCGATGCACGGCCCAATTAAGAGTGTCTTTGAGGGCCCGGCGGTACAGGATCCGAACCCTCTCCTTCTGCGCCGCGCGCCGAGCAAGGTAAGCTGCCGTCGATGCCATGCGACTTTCTCTTCTCTTCTCCTCTCTGCTTTTTCACTTCACTTCTTCTCAGTTAGTCCCTCCTATTGGAAAATGTTGTATCGCAATTGGACCAAACCACCATTGGGCCTTCTCTCGTTTTCCACACTGGGCTTCGGTCCAATTTCTATTTATTCCCGGAGGTGTTGCTCCCTCCACCACCACCCCTTTTCCCTCCACCTCTCCAACTTTCTGAAAAAAAATTTAATTACAAAAATAACCTTTTTTATTTTTAATCTTATTTATTTACTTTATAATCTTCCGTTTTTATTTTAAAATATACACTATTCTCTTATAAATAAACGTAAACAATACTTTAACCCTTTTCAATAATATAAGCAAACTTCTTTAAAATGATAAATAATTTTAAATTATTACTTTAAATAATTTAGGATGGAAATGAAATTTGAGATATATTGGTTATTTCATTTTTAAGGTGACAAGTTGTTAATAAGGTATTGAAAAGGTCCTACACAAGAATCATAGGAATAAAAAATTATTTTTCGTGTCTTGAAAATATCTTTACGTCACAACCAAATAAAACATTAAACATTAATCAGGATATACATTATATAAAATACTTGCATCAAAATAAAAGTTGCAAATAATCGAAACTAACACTAAAAATATCTCTAAAAAAAATTAATTAAAGGAACATTCCAAAACGATTATGTCATGGTAAGTTCTAAACATACTCCAAACTACACTCCAAACTACCTTGCAATATAAGTTTTTGCTTATTTTTCTCTTTTTTGCCAAACAAAATTAATTCTTAACAATTTAATAAAATCAATCACTTATCTTCTTACTTTAAATTTGTATTTATAAATTTTAAATTAACTTTTAATTAGCAATAATCTAACTACGATTCAAGAGTTGATAAACATACTATATTTATAAATATATTAGGAAAAATACTGATCAGTTAGTGACTTTTTATTGATGATCATCTTAATTCCGAAAACAACCTCCAAATATGAAGATTGATATTTTATCAATTGGTGACTAAATGGTTATACTGTGCAGTTTTTAGATCCGTAAGTTATTGACCTATTATTTTCTGAAATTAGCAAAAATTGAAACAAGTATTTGAAGATTTTTAAGATTTGAATCTAGTATGATAATAAGATATGTTTGGCAATAGGCAGCAACAAAGAACATAAAAAGTAATGTAGTAGATAAAATAAAGGATGAAGAAGGCCTAGAAAAGAGAGGCCCTGGTAGTTTTGGAGGAATATGACATTCGATGAGGAGAGAAGCTGAGGGCAAACATCTCCTTAAGGGCATTATCACCCTGCCAAGTGAACCTCACCAACTTTGCAACAACCGCAGCACTCTCCATGACATGCTTCATATCTGTGTTGCTCCATATGCGATTCGCCAGCTGCTTCCTCCTTCGCTTTGAATCCAATGCAATGCCCCACTTCCTGTACACCTTCCTCCTCTCTTCCTCTGATAGCCTTCTCTTCATAAGCTTCACCAGCGTCTCTCTCTCCCTCTCCACATCCTTTGCACTGTTTCCCCCAACACACACAAATTTATGTCAGTCAAACTCAACATTAAACAATCATAATCTCTAAACATGTACGTTAGAGAACAACCTCGTAGCTAATGTAACTGTCGGAGCATCTTTCACCCACTCGTTTCCACCATGAAATGTTCCTTTCAGAAAACATAATCTTCTTCGCTCCACCTCCATGTAAATAGAGTCTGTCGGATCACCCCTGAACAAAAGAAAGAAGTATGTCCTGTGGAACAATGATACATTGCAGGCTTCCCAAAGTTCTAATATTTCTGTCTGCTGCTGTTTGAACTGTAGAGGCCATTCCACAGGAGATCCTGCTGCCTCTAACATTGAATCCACTCCGACATCCTTCATATTCTTTTCAAATCTAAAATATGTTGTCTCTGCCTCCTTATCCTACAATTCAGAAACCAGAATTCTGTCAGACAACATCGATAGTGACTTTCCAGATCAGATTTTCACGGATAAAAAGATAACAGTGGTAACAGACGGTTGTGTGAAGTTATCACGCATGGCTGCTGCAAGTGTCAATATGAATGTCTAGATAAAGTGGAAGTTCGGGATGTTTACTATATTTGCTAATGACAAGGAAGAACTTTAAATAATACATAATTCACAGTTGTATGTATCTCTGCAACTGGCCAATATTGCATACGCAACGCCTTTCCATAAAAGAAAAATGGAAGAAGCGTATCAACAATTCAGTTGTTTCAAAGAAAACTGATAAAAGTGTGAACTTTTTTGCTGAAGTTGTAAGAAATTAGAAAGGATTTGAAATTTCTCATTTGCACCTGATCATCATCAACAAGACGCTTCTCATACTCAAGTTTGACCATTTCCTTCATCCCTGCAACAAAAGTCTGGAGGCTAGTAATATCTTCATTAGTGGATGTTCTTGTGCCGTTGGTTCTTAAATCATCCGTAGATGGAGTTCCAATTGAAGGCGGAGAGCCATTCATTGACAATTTTGTGGAAGCACTGTAAGTTAATGGAAGGAACTTTCTCGGTAATCCATCTGGTCTTCCAGGGAAGCATTTTTCAAAACTACTGGCCGGAGTACTCACAATTTCTCCCACATTCCCAGGAGAACCAGTCGTGTAGAATTCTCTACAACTCCAGCTCCTTGTTAATTTAAGATTCCTACAATTTGACACTGTTCCTGACATAGACAGAGGAGAATCATTACTCAACTCTGCATAATCGAGTCTCTGCTCCAAAACACCATCTGTTGCATCGTCTTGGTTCAGTCTCTCTTCCCTATCTTCAGCAACAGGAGTCAGTATCTCCTGACTTGTTACATTTTCATCTCCATACCATGTTAATGCCAACACCTCGTTGTATCTTACTGATGGGTCAGGATATTCCAAGCCATCCTTACTCGATTCCTCCATTCCAACACTTAGAATTTCATTGCAGTATTCATCAGGATGTTCTGTACGAACACAACTTATCACATGGTTACATACGGTGCGTTTCTACTCTTAAATGTTATTAACTATGAACTTCTATTAGACTACTTCCTATTGACAAAGGGAAGAAGCAACTTACTATCGGGACTACTTTCACTGTTTTCATTGATGTAGTGAGGATTGTTGAATTCTCCAATCCGTAAATCAGAAGGATAAATGCTTGATGATTCTGATATTGAATCTTCATCTTCCCAGGTGTCGACCGTTTCCTACATATTAAAAACGATTGTTAATGCTAGGCTGAATTATAACAAAACAAGAAACAAAATTCAGAGGCCTGATTTCTCATATCAGTTTACTAATTAGAAGAATGAAATTACCTTTTTAGATTTCCGATCATTTCCAACCATGCGCAGCAAATCCTCAACCTGAGATTGAGCAAGATCACGTTGCTTAATTAGCTCCTGAATCTCCCTCTCCATCTGAATAATTGAAAGTTTGAAACCCACTTTACACCATCAAGGAGTAACAAAAATGTAACGTGCACAAGGGTGAAAGATGTTGTGGAATCTAGAACCAAATTCGATGAGACGAATTTTAGTTATTAGGACATAAGTGTTGTTCGTTAAGACAAACAGACAATTAACCAGTTAAGAGAGACTAACAGACAAAAGTTCTAAATCAATATCTTCAAAGTTCCTTGTCTAGACACGCCAACAATTAACACAGAATGAATATCGTATGAATTAAAAAAAAAAAACACAAATTATGACCTTTTCTATTCGGAGATTTTTCTTTCTCATCATTGCTGCACAATCACAATTGGTTGAAGGTGGACAAGGAGTTTTCAATTCACTCTCTAATCTGGCTACCTCTTTTTGCAACTGTTTGACCAATACTTTATCAGACATCACTACATTAACCTGTGCTTTAGTGGTCACTTGTTTTGCACAACATGCAAAAAGAAGGGTGTTTCTAGTTTGCTCAACATGACAACGTGCGGGGCTCAAAGTGCAAATGATTGCTGTTCTAGAATTGCCACCTAAGGAAGGCTGCAATATTCGTGTCAGCTTAGAATCTCTGTAATTAATGTGTCCTTGTCTTCCCTTACTGCATTCAAGCACATAATGTTAGCCAACAGAAACTACTAAATTTAATATTTGAACAGCTTCATATAATGTGTAGTCCATCAGATAAATTTTGAACATACAGATAGGTTTTCCAGTGAGAAGCTCTCTCTATTTAGTCTCAACAGAAGGTACAAAACATGTGTTTTGCTTCTTCACAAAAAATTGTATTTACTGGATATTATTCAAGTCTTATAATTAATAAAATGACTATCTGAATGCTCTTCTCTTCTGAAGGAAAGGATGTCTTAATGCTATGAGCCTATGATGATATCAATAGTTTCAGTCTGATATTGGCATAAAGAAAAATTATCAGTCAGTTTTTGCATAAACAATAAAATAAGAGGCCTGACAGGTCATGAAGTCATAAACAGTAAAGATATGATTAAATCATCAACAGTAAAATAAGAGGCAAGCATCCATAAAACTAGTTGAATTAAACAATACCACAGCTGAATTAAACACTCCAGATGTAGGTTTGCTAACAATATAACCTTAAAAAGAAGGGGACAACCTAAGTTTACGAATGACTGTTCCAAGAGTGAGTAAACTCCGGTTTATATGACAGCCTTCTTTCAATCTGGACCCAGCAGATAATGCCTGAGATGCACGCTCACTCCCTGCCAAATCAACAAAATTCTGCAGAGAAAAGAAACAAAAATAACAGTAAAATCTTATAAACATTTTACATTGAATGAAACGAAAAATTTAAAAATTTTAACATACCACACTAGCAGCTAGGGTGGTTGAGCTGCTTTTACCCATGAATTCTCTGGCAGAACTTTCAATTGTCTACACAATTACAATTCCAATAATAAAGTTCTACACGTACAACGTAAAATACACAACGTTCTAAACAGCAAGGGGGAAGGCACTCGAACCAGTCTGATGATTTGGTGAGATCGAGAACTCTTGTCATTGAGATATGTCTCTCCTACCTGTCTCTGTGCTGCAAGAACATAGTGGGAAATGTAATGCTATAGACCAACCTGTATATCAAGAATGTTGTGCAAATTTCTTTTACCTTCACAGAATGATAGAAGCTCTTTCAAATGCGTCCAGTCCCGCAGAGTCTCTTCTATAAGTTTCTCTATAATAGGTCCTCTCTGAAAAATCATGAAACAGATAAATAAACAACGTCATTTATTTCAATTCAATAACATACTCATTCACCTCAGGATCATCACGCAGCCTTAGTGGTGTGTTCTCACTGCTGAGGAGGTCCCTGATATTTTCGTTGTAAATTTCAATTGCTGAGAACTTCAATACAAATGCTCTTTCTTCATGCTAAAAAGGTCACAGTAACCTTGTATCAGCAAGCTTGTAATATTAGAAACAAGAGTTACCGTGAAAAGTGACAGTGAAGAATTAAACAGCTAGATCAATAAATTTTCTCTCCGACTACCTTTCTTATATAGTCAAAAATATCAGCAACAGCATATTCAGTTACTCCAATCATCGTATATGTCTTTCCACTACTTGTTTGCCCATACGCAAAAATACTTGCTGAAAGAATTATGAATAGGTATTAGAGTCCAAGTAAGGAGTCTGAGCAGAAGTGAGTCATGAGAAGAAGTTATATGCTTACAGTTGATTCCACCAACAACTGAAAGAGCAATTGCTTTGACCCCTTCTTCATATACCTGCTTTGTGGAACAGTCACCCCGAAATACTCTGTCTACAACCAAATCATAGTAAAAATTAAGAAACATTTTGTCCATACAATGATATATTATGTCTTAAACTTCCTCAACAATGCTTCCAAACACAATCATGACAAAACAACTTCAAATTACTCAAAGCAACTAAATCTCGTTCTCCAGGCAAAGGAATCAACGGATCCAATAAATGTACTTTATGAATCAAACCCATGTTCTAAGATTCCAATTTTAGCCAATAAAATGCAAACATAGAATTGTTTGATTTTGATTACCGAAGGTGCAGGCGCTTGGGAATGTGGAACCTTCCCGAAGGGTATTCCGGTATAAGATGGTAGTGTCATTGATGCATTCCCAATCTGCTACTTCACTGGCATCAACTTCTTTCTGATTCAAAGGCCTCAGCCTCACTAACACCAGAATCTTCTCTTCATGGCCTCCCATTCCTCCCATCTTCTCCCATTTAACCAACTCCTCTCCAGTAACAGCTCTCATTTCTCACTTTTAAAACTGAAAACAAGTGATGTAGTTAACTATAAAAATCAGTATTTCTTTCCAAAAAAATGCAAGATAGTTATAGGAAAACAGCTGGCACTTCACAAAAATACCAAGCCCTTCAATTTAATCATTATCCACGGGAAGCAAAACCATGAATGAGAAGACAACAACCCATTAACTTAAGCTCATAAATAAATAGGCAATAACAGCAACAACAATCTAACTTTAGAAAGACCAAGATAAACAGAATACTAACTAATTACAATTCTATCACAAGAACTTCTCTTCAATCCATTAAAAACAGAAAGAGAAAGTAAAGCAACATAGGTAGATGATGAACCATCATCCAGAGAGAAGAGGAACGTGATGTGTAAATAAAAAATATTTTAATCCTTCGTTCACCAAACCAATTATTATTCGAGAATAAAAAAAACTTTGATCGTGGCAACCACTTAATGCCTCAGACCTGAGAACGAAATCCAACAAGACAAGAACATGAATCTTTTCGTTTGTTACACGGAGGACTGGTCCCAACAAACAAGACCATCCCTTTCACTAACCCCTCTTTTTCTTCTTTCCAACAAACACGTACGGTCTCATGTTCTTGTAGAAATTAATGTTTCACGACCCGATTAAATTACCTTCAGCTTTTTTCTCCCTTTAACGTCTTCCTCTGACGTTGAGCGAACTGCAACTGAAAGCTTAACCAGAAATGCGAATCAATAAGTCACAACAACGTAATGGAACAGCCCAAGAGTAAAACAAACTAAAATCAACGCAAGCATCGATCTCTCCATTCAGATTTCGCTACATGGCACCTCAATGCCAATTGCTCAACACAAGTAACTTCCTCAGAGTTCAAAGTTTACTGCTTTGAGTAAACCAGTGACACTAAAAACCCATAGTATAGATCATAGTAACGTAGCGTCCAAATTTATATTTTTGTTACAGAAAAGGAGAAAAGGTGGAGTATGAAGCTTTGTTCTGTTTTTTGTTTTTTTCTTTTTCTTTTCTGTGAATGAGATTATAAATAGAATAATAGAGTAAGGGGTGAAAACAGAAAAATGAAAAATTGCACCAGTTTAACGATCCACGATCTCAAAAAGAAAACCTGCAACGCCTCCTAACCATACAGTGTGTGAGAAAGAGAGAAAGATAATGTGGTCGGTTTCTTTTCTTGGTTTGGTTTGGTTTGACAGCATATGTTCTGTGTCTGTCTCTTACTCACCTGAAACTTGTTGCAGACTGAACCAACTAACTGGCCATTGAACCTCAATTTCCACGCCAACCTTATTACATCTTCTCTGTCTCTTATTCTTAACCTTCCCAACTAAATCAACTTTCACATTTCACTCAGACCATATACGCATTTATTTTACTCCTCTGCATTACCATGGTTTTACATCAACTCATTCTAGCATTATTCTTACATGTTATTAGATTTTGTTTTTAAGTCCTAAATTTATTTATTTATTTTGTTTTGAATAGTATTTAAATGCATAACGGTTACTGAAAAAGTGACGTGAATGATCGAACATGGGTGTGGCGTAATGTTTGGTTGTTAGAAAAAAGTGAAAATGTGAGTGTTTGTACTTGTATGGATGGAAGCACCACGCATTTCTTCTTTTCACTTTCTACTTTCCAGTGAGTGAGGAAATGAGTTCACGATATCTGTAGGCGCAGTTATGTTCACCGGCCTTTTTCCCTAACACGTTAACACATCTAATCAATTATACAACTATATTACTGTTTGAGAGCAGAGGAAGATAAACAAGTGAAGGATAATAGTAGAATGATACATTTTTTCATATATTATAAAAAAATAATTTTTTATGTATTAAAAAAAATTAGAAAAAAATGTTCTGTATATCACATATATTAATGAAACTAAAATGAAAAGTTATATAAATAAATAAATAAAAAATAAGTAGGTATGGAAGAAAAAAAAATGAAATAGTTACCATACCCTTTCCCGCAGCCATGGATCCAATAAGAATAGAAGAAAGCTTTTTCTTTTAAGAAAAATACTTGGAGTGAATAAAAAGATGAAAAAAATGACAAAAAAAATTAAACATGGAAGATTAATATTAATGAAGGAAAATAAAAAAGAAACTAAAAATATATAAAAAAAAATAGTAAAATGGATATACATTATTTGCTAAATTTTGTAGTAAATATTTCGAAAATATACTAACAATTATTTATGATTTATTAATCGTGTAATTTTTTTTTCCAAGTATAAAAACTAAAAAAAAAAAACTAAGATCTTATAAGAATTTAGGCTATCTTTAACCGTATACATTATTCACATTATTTTTCTTTCCTTTCATTTTATAGTAATATCAACATTTTTTAAATAGCTAGTAACTATTGTAAAAGAAAGAAGAAGAAAATGTCTATACTCTAATTAAGACTATAGCTCAAAATGTGTAGAGAGAATGAAAATATGTTTTCTCTACTGACAGACCCACCAAAAATTTATGAAACTTCTTTCATTGAATCCTAAATTCATCCATCATCTATGAAATCAATGATAATACTATATGAATGCCGTAGATTAGCCAAGTTTAGAGAGTACACCTTTAAGATGAAAATAATTTATTAAATAATACTATATTATTTTACTAAAATTTCAGAAATTGCTTATAAAAAAAGAAAATAAATATAGCTGTACACATGCTTAAAAATACCAAACTAACAAATTTAATAAATTTTATATATATCTAGGGTAAACATAAACATAATATATATATATATATATATATATATATAAGTATAGATTAAATATTATTAAATGAAAATAGCATAATTTGTGTGTATATGTTTGGGTGGATAGTCGATTTGCAGTAATAGTCCATTTGGTTGGGACAATAACATGAACAAATTGACCTTGTATCTACCTGTTGCAGTTACCGTGTTTGAAGAAATTAAAGAGAATGAAGTTTAATTACTAATTAAGTATCTGAGTAGCTTGTTAATGAATCCATAATTAACCACATGCAAAAGTGTTAAGGCTTCAGATAATAAAGTGTAAAACTTAATATAAAGAGACTTTGAAAAGGGTCCCCTTCCATTCCATTCGTTATTGCGTAAATCACGTTACTTTTGTTTCATTTTGGGTCATTATCAAATAATTAATAGGCAATTTAAGTGGCAAATTTGTTTCGTCATGTTTCCTTCCTTTTTGCCTTGTAAGATATTAGCATATCTACAAGTATTTCATCAAATTTTTAAAATTAAAATTGTAAAATACTATCATCATTATAAACAAATTATTTGGATGTTTTAAAAATTATAACAAATAAAATGAATTCTCATTGCTTAAAAAGCAAACATTTTTATTTTGTTTTATGAAATAAACAAAAAATAAGACTTTTAAGGGTTTTTATTATTCTTGTGTTGTTTGTATGATCTGCAGGTCTAATATGCAGAGCAAACAATGAAATATTGAGTTATTTTATCATTGGTTTGTATATATGGTGTATCATTGATTTAAGCACTGTTTTATGTTATGAATTGTATCATTGACTATGAACATGAATTTGGATTAAATATTTATTACATGATGAACAGGAATATGATATGAAATTGGCTAAGGATCTTATTGACAGATTCTGTGTTTATAATTGATCATTTGATACATTGATGTTGGAAGTCCTGATATTACTGATGTTGGGAGTTATGATGTTGAAAGTTATCTTAATACTCTAATATTGATACATTGCTTGATTCTGTGACGAACATGGTCAGAGATGCTACTCTGTTTGGTTGTTCATATGATACTATTATAATGTGTTGGATGTTTCTGATGAACGAGTTTCTATGCTGGGAAGTGGCCTTTGGTTGGGGTCACGTTGGTTTATGGTTTGGTACTGAAATTATATGTTTCTCCTTGATTGTGTGTAAACTGTTACTCACTATTTACCATAAAATTTCTTCAGTTTTAGGTTTTTTGTTTTGATTTTAGTATATAGATATGCAGTATAAATTATTTACTTTATATAAAATTATAATTACAACAATATTTAGAATAACAGTCATCATCGCTATACCTTTTTCAGAGTTAAACGCAACAAGAGATTGATAATAGTAGTTTTAAGGTTATGTATTTCCATGTAATGAGCAAATGAGTGATCTGCATATTTTCTTTTTGAAAATTTGAGCTACTCATTTGGATACTCAAGCGCAGCTTTCTAGAAAACCCTAGTTTAGTTTTTGACAATTCATTGTTTTTGCTTCATTCGGAAAGTTTAATATTCTTTACACTTCTTCCGTGAGATTGGGTATCCTCGTACACGACCACCTGTGGCATCATCAAGCCCGTCAAAGTAAGTGTTTTGAAGAACGTAAGCACACACCAATTGCCCAGCGGCATTACCAAAACCTATAAGTCTTGAATCCAATTTCCCAACATTACCAAAACCAACAAAATATCATGGCAATTCGAAACATCCGCGACAATCTCAGGTTGGTTTCAATTCCTCAATCTTGTAATTCTACTTTTCACTTTTCGTTCTTCTCTAATGCCCCACCTTCATCCAACACCCCAACTTCAAGTTCAGCTACACTCCTTTCTCCTCCCCGCATCTCATTTCGGTGTTCAACTCTCTGTTTCCCCCATCACCCTTTTGCGGGTTCTTCAACTCGTCGTTCTAATGTTGATAATGGGCACTCGCCCTTCAATCTCAATTTGCACTTTCATACTCGCGTGTATTTTTGTACTCGTACGTGTACTCCTTACTGGAGTAGGCCTCTTGCTACTTCAGAGCAGGTTTCTCAAATCATTGCACTGATTCGTGAGGATGGGGATGATTTGGTAACCAAGTTGAATAGTATGAACGTGTCTTTGTCCGATGCGTCAGTTGTTGACATTTTTCAGATATTAGCCCGTGACAGAGTGTCAGCGTTGCAGTTCTTTGATTGGCTTAAAGTTTCTGATCCTGATATTTGTTGTGATCCAGATATAGGTAGCTTGTTTGTTAATAACTGCGGGTTGTTGTGGAATTTTGAGGCAATGGTTCCTGTTTTGCGTGGATTTAGCCTTAAAAGGGTGTTTTTGGGAATAAAGGCTTTTGGGTTTTTGCTGGATTTAGGTTTGGACAAGACTTCTAGTATGAAATGTGTGAAAAAGATTATGACCGTGTTCAATGAGGTTGGCGGGGTCTATCAAAGTTTTGGAGTTCAGTTGTTGATAGAAATGTTTGGTCTTTCAGGATCGTTTGAGATAGCTGAGTTTGTGATAAGAACATCAGGGAGAAAGATGAAAAACTATCATGTGTTAATGAAGATAATGTGTAAGAGAGGTGATTGTAAAAGAGTAGGAGATTTGGTTGAGGAGATGGAGAGAAGTAATTGTGATATGAATGCAAGTACGTATAATTTGCTACTCAGTTGTCTATGCAAGAGTGGTAAGATCGATGAAGCTTGGCAAGTGCTTGAAGGTATGGAGAAAAACTATGGTTTAACTGATGTGCATAGCTTTGGTATTCTTATTAACACATTTTGTAAGAGGCATCAATTTGATTTAGTTTTGAAGCTTCTTGATAAAATGACAGTGAAGGGTATTGAACCAAGTATTTTGACTCATGCTGCAATAATAAAGTCTTACTTTGAATCAGGAAAGTACGAGGAAGCACATGCGTATGTGATTGGTTCTGCCGATAAGCTTTGCTATTCTAGCAATGCAAATTACAGCTTGCTTGCTACGCTTCATTTGAATAATGGGAATGTGCTGCTTGCCAGTAAGGTTCTTTCTGAGATGATGGACAAGGGTCTTAAACCTAATTTTTCAGCATACAAAAAAATTAAGACGCATCTCGAGAAGAAAGCTGAAAAAGATTTGTCTATGGAATTATCAAGAAGATACTTGAGCTTGATTGAAAAATGAAAGATTTTGAATTTTACATGACCAGATGCTGTAATTCCATTCATGTTTGCTTAATAGTTGCTCTACATACTGAGCGGTTCAGTTAATGACGTTTGCTTCTGCCATTTTGCTGGTTTCATCATTGATAAATCTACATTCTGCCCGTTTGCTCTACTTGCTTAATAATGGTAATTATCCTTTACTGTTTCTTTTGCCCATTTTCGTTTTCTTTACCAAGCTTTCAATTCCCTATGTTAAATCTGAATTAAAAACCCAGAACAAGATCATGTGCATTCACAGCATAGAAATTAAAAACTATTTTCTAAGTGGACTAAAATGATCTTCATGTTCCAAAAATTCAGAAATAAGTACTTGGAGTCAAGGATGAAGGTTGAATGACCATGGTTGTGTTTGAGTTTCTCTAATTTAAGAAATTACCCAGTTCATCTTCTTTTCTGTTTTACAAACCCATTTTCTGCATTTGCATTTTAATTCTGTTTTTGATTCAGAACTTAGTCTTCAATCTGTTTTTGTAATGCGTTTTGTTTTTCTATTTGCTGATTCAAGTTACACCTCAGAATTATCAATTGTTCATCATGGTAGTTAAATGTTGCTCCTGTAATAAATTCACGATGCAGCAAAGAGAATGCTCTTGGTTTGCCAGTTCATTGAGATCAAGATCGCAATATTTGTGCCCCAACCCTGGACTTCCCTGTCTACATGAGCAAGCTCAGCCAGATATATCATTAGATCCTTCTACAGGTCCAATTGATGCTTTTTGCCTTCTGATCCTAGAGCCGCTCATACTGTAACATAAATATGTGTGTTTTGATCTACACATTCACTATGGTTTCAACCTTAGACAGGTTGATTCCTTGATTTTTAAGAGTAACCAGAGGCTATCATTCAAATGAAGTGAGTGCTGCAGCAGAGAAAAGCTGGACTGTGGAGAGGGTCAACCCATAATCTGTTTTCTGTCAGTGTCTTGTTCCTATTTCACTGCAGACAACAAATTGAATGTTCCGAGGGAATNTTATGTTATGAATTGTATCATTGACTATGAACATGAATTTGGATTAAATATTTATTACATGATGAACAGGAATATGATATGAAATTGGCTAAGGATCTTATTGACAGATTCTGTGTTTATAATTGATCATTTGATACATTGATGTTGGAAGTCCTGATATTACTGATGTTGGGAGTTATGATGTTGAAAGTTATCTTAATACTCTAATATTGATACATTGCTTGATTCTGTGACGAACATGGTCAGAGATGCTACTCTGTTTGGTTGTTCATATGATACTATTATAATGTGTTGGATGTTTCTGATGAACGAGTTTCTATGCTGGGAAGTGGCCTTTGGTTGGGGTCACGTTGGTTTATGGTTTGGTACTGAAATTATATGTTTCTCCTTGATTGTGTGTAAACTGTTACTCACTATTTACCATAAAATTTCTTCAGTTTTAGGTTTTTTGTTTTGATTTTAGTATATAGATATGCAGTATAAATTATTTACTTTATATAAAATTATAATTACAACAATATTTAGAATAACAGTCATCATCGCTATACCTTTTTCAGAGTTAAACGCAACAAGAGATTGATAATAGTAGTTTTAAGGTTATGTATTTCCATGTAATGAGCAAATGAGTGATCTGCATATTTTCTTTTTGAAAATTTGAGCTACTCATTTGGATACTCAAGCGCAGCTTTCTAGAAAACCCTAGTTTAGTTTTTGACAATTCATTGTTTTTGCTTCATTCGGAAAGTTTAATATTCTTTACACTTCTTCCGTGAGATTGGGTATCCTCGTACACGACCACCTGTGGCATCATCAAGCCCGTCAAAGTAAGTGTTTTGAAGAACGTAAGCACACACCAATTGCCCAGCGGCATTACCAAAACCTATAAGTCTTGAATCCAATTTCCCAACATTACCAAAACCAACAAAATATCATGGCAATTCGAAACATCCGCGACAATCTCAGGTTGGTTTCAATTCCTCAATCTTGTAATTCTACTTTTCACTTTTCGTTCTTCTCTAATGCCCCACCTTCATCCAACACCCCAACTTCAAGTTCAGCTACACTCCTTTCTCCTCCCCGCATCTCATTTCGGTGTTCAACTCTCTGTTTCCCCCATCACCCTTTTGCGGGTTCTTCAACTCGTCGTTCTAATGTTGATAATGGGCACTCGCCCTTCAATCTCAATTTGCACTTTCATACTCGCGTGTATTTTTGTACTCGTACGTGTACTCCTTACTGGAGTAGGCCTCTTGCTACTTCAGAGCAGGTTTCTCAAATCATTGCACTGATTCGTGAGGATGGGGATGATTTGGTAACCAAGTTGAATAGTATGAACGTGTCTTTGTCCGATGCGTCAGTTGTTGACATTTTTCAGATATTAGCCCGTGACAGAGTGTCAGCGTTGCAGTTCTTTGATTGGCTTAAAGTTTCTGATCCTGATATTTGTTGTGATCCAGATATAGGTAGCTTGTTTGTTAATAACTGCGGGTTGTTGTGGAATTTTGAGGCAATGGTTCCTGTTTTGCGTGGATTTAGCCTTAAAAGGGTGTTTTTGGGAATAAAGGCTTTTGGGTTTTTGCTGGATTTAGGTTTGGACAAGACTTCTAGTATGAAATGTGTGAAAAAGATTATGACCGTGTTCAATGAGGTTGGCGGGGTCTATCAAAGTTTTGGAGTTCAGTTGTTGATAGAAATGTTTGGTCTTTCAGGATCGTTTGAGATAGCTGAGTTTGTGATAAGAACATCAGGGAGAAAGATGAAAAACTATCATGTGTTAATGAAGATAATGTGTAAGAGAGGTGATTGTAAAAGAGTAGGAGATTTGGTTGAGGAGATGGAGAGAAGTAATTGTGATATGAATGCAAGTACGTATAATTTGCTACTCAGTTGTCTATGCAAGAGTGGTAAGATCGATGAAGCTTGGCAAGTGCTTGAAGGTATGGAGAAAAACTATGGTTTAACTGATGTGCATAGCTTTGGTATTCTTATTAACACATTTTGTAAGAGGCATCAATTTGATTTAGTTTTGAAGCTTCTTGATAAAATGACAGTGAAGGGTATTGAACCAAGTATTTTGACTCATGCTGCAATAATAAAGTCTTACTTTGAATCAGGAAAGTACGAGGAAGCACATGCGTATGTGATTGGTTCTGCCGATAAGCTTTGCTATTCTAGCAATGCAAATTACAGCTTGCTTGCTACGCTTCATTTGAATAATGGGAATGTGCTGCTTGCCAGTAAGGTTCTTTCTGAGATGATGGACAAGGGTCTTAAACCTAATTTTTCAGCATACAAAAAAATTAAGACGCATCTCGAGAAGAAAGCTGAAAAAGATTTGTCTATGGAATTATCAAGAAGATACTTGAGCTTGATTGAAAAATGAAAGATTTTGAATTTTACATGACCAGATGCTGTAATTCCATTCATGTTTGCTTAATAGTTGCTCTACATACTGAGCGGTTCAGTTAATGACGTTTGCTTCTGCCATTTTGCTGGTTTCATCATTGATAAATCTACATTCTGCCCGTTTGCTCTACTTGCTTAATAATGGTAATTATCCTTTACTGTTTCTTTTGCCCATTTTCGTTTTCTTTACCAAGCTTTCAATTCCCTATGTTAAATCTGAATTAAAAACCCAGAACAAGATCATGTGCATTCACAGCATAGAAATTAAAAACTATTTTCTAAGTGGACTAAAATGATCTTCATGTTCCAAAAATTCAGAAATAAGTACTTGGAGTCAAGGATGAAGGTTGAATGACCATGGTTGTGTTTGAGTTTCTCTAATTTAAGAAATTACCCAGTTCATCTTCTTTTCTGTTTTACAAACCCATTTTCTGCATTTGCATTTTAATTCTGTTTTTGATTCAGAACTTAGTCTTCAATCTGTTTTTGTAATGCGTTTTGTTTTTCTATTTGCTGATTCAAGTTACACCTCAGAATTATCAATTGTTCATCATGGTAGTTAAATGTTGCTCCTGTAATAAATTCACGATGCAGCAAAGAGAATGCTCTTGGTTTGCCAGTTCATTGAGATCAAGATCGCAATATTTGTGCCCCAACCCTGGACTTCCCTGTCTACATGAGCAAGCTCAGCCAGATATATCATTAGATCCTTCTACAGGTCCAATTGATGCTTTTTGCCTTCTGATCCTAGAGCCGCTCATACTGTAACATAAATATGTGTGTTTTGATCTACACATTCACTATGGTTTCAACCTTAGACAGGTTGATTCCTTGATTTTTAAGAGTAACCAGAGGCTATCATTCAAATGAAGTGAGTGCTGCAGCAGAGAAAAGCTGGACTGTGGAGAGGGTCAACCCATAATCTGTTTTCTGTCAGTGTCTTGTTCCTATTTCACTGCAGACAACAAATTGAATGTTCCGAGGGAATATATTTGTCAGATATTCATTTTACAATGGCCACTGGATGTTCTTGCAGCCCTTTGAAGATTGCGCTTGTTCAATAAGCTTAGTAAGATTGGGTGTGAATCAGCCTCGTGCGTAGAGCATCGTATCAATGTAGACATATCAATTGGAACTAGTATAGAGGTGGAACCTTGGAGAGAACAGGAGCCACTATTTATCACTTTGATTTCAAGTAATGTTAATATCTTTTATTTCTATTTCAGAATTCTGATGGATTAGCAGATATAGATCAAACTTCTACTGTATGTCTGGTTCAATTTATTTTCAAGCATATTATCATATTGGATATACTGATAAACATGTTATATTTGTAATCAGGATCACATTTTAATAATAACATATTTAAAACCTAGAACTTATAAATTTAATAAAATTAGGATAAAAATTAATGACTCATTTCATTAATTTTTAAGTGCTAATATTTCTTAGTGTGTGTTTTAGTGATGGGATTGGGATTCAATTGAGATAATCCAATAGACTATTATTGATTCAATGGATAAGTTTTGATTCAATGTGATAATTGATGTTTTGGATTATAACATGAATTTAGTGCTCCATACACTTTGTTACAAGTTCAGGCTCAAAATATCTCTTAAAAAGGTGTTGTCCCTCCACACCCCAAGTGCTTCTACAGACTTCAATATTAGTGCTTCTACCACTTCCATTTTATAAACTTAAAAGTTATATGCAAATACAAAATAATAAACATAATAATATTAATAGTAAATAATATATTATTATTATTATTATATACTAACTTTATAATGACGAAGAACTAAATAAATTTCAAATCTTTAACAAATAATTTTTCTTTTATATTTTAAGTATTTAATAATATTTTATATTATTTATCTAATAAATTAAATACTTTATTCAAGTTATTTGAGTCAAACATGTCGGTAAGTTAAAACATAATATAATGTTAAAAATTATAGATATTAAATGTAAAAAAAAAAAAAAAAAAAACACACACACACACATATATATATATATATATATATATAAACATTTTTCTAGAAATTTAGAACAAAAATTTTAGCATTTAAAAAGTAATTTGAAGAAAAAAAAAATATCGAATAGTAAAAATAAGATTGAATCAAACTTAACTTATTTAAGGGAAAATGTAGATAAAATTTTGCAATATATCACAAGTTTAAAACTGAGCCATGTAAATCCTCCATTAATATGAGAAAGAAAGAGAAAGATTGTTGAATATAGCGGGCAAGTATAGGGTATTTTTGGAATAAAAGAAAATAATGAGGAGGTGCAGGAGCAATTGGGGTGGTGGAAAGAGCAACACCCCCTTAAAAAATGAGTTAATTTTCAAAACTTAAAAACATTAAATCAAATCCAATCTACAAAACAAATAAAAATAAATAAAAAATGAAAGCACGTATTTCTATTAATTATATATACATTATTCATTATAAAACATATTATAATCAGTCGTTTAATTAATTTATTAAATATATCTTATTAAATGTATAAAAAAAATTCTATGTTTAATTTTTATCTAATGTTCATTTTTATTTGACATGCATCAGAATTTTTTAAGAGAAAAATTACAGATTTAATATAATTTTTAATCTTTATATTTATAGTAATTATTCAACGTTTTTTCACAATCTATTTTTAAGTCAATATAATTTCACATTTTTTAAAGATTCGATGTGGTTTCTGCTAATCTCCACCTTGTACAAGGTTTGCAGCTTGCATGTGTTTCAATATAACGAGTATAAAATACAACGTCATTTTTTAAAGTGAAGTTAAACTTGTATGTGACCACCACCCTCCATTTCTAAACAGAAAAAATCACAATAAAGTTTTAAAAAAAATACAAAAAACATATTAAACTAAAAGTAAATTCTAAAAAATATTGAATAATCATTATAAATATAGAAAATTATTATATAATTATATAAAAATGAAATTTCATTAACTTATTATTTTGAGTTGATAATCATATCATTTCTTATGATTGAAATCAGATTAATGTATCGTACCTTCTTAATAAAACTAATATATGTAAATCATGTCCCTATATTTCTCTAACGCTACTTATAATGTTTGTTTTTGTTTCCTAAGTACAACAACTTTTGCTAATTCTTCAAATTATCATAAACATATTTTTATGCACAATACAAATAAGTTAAATACTAAATATGTGAATGCAACGGTGTTACAGATACATTACAGTCAAACTCGTACTAATAAAATTGTAATAACAATAATTAAATACTCCTTTGTTTTAAAATAACTATAACTTTTGTTGAGAAAATTTAAATTTAAAATTGGATCAAATGTTTTAAATTTAATGTATAAAATAAAAATCTTAGATAAACCCTGAAGGATTTTTCTTCCACAAACGAGAACAAAGAGCGCTGAAAGTTGTGGAGTTTCCCCATGGCCAAATTCCTCAATCAGGATAGCAATTTTCCTTATTCAGGTACTTGCTAGCTACTTCATGGCGATTGCTTCACATCGTGGAGATATTAGCATCTAGTTTCTCACATCTCTTGGAACAGAGAGTACCGAAAAGTTTTCATCTTTTTGGTGAA